TACTTTATTCAAGTCTTTCCTCAAATATCATTTTTTCCCGAGGCCTTTTCTGATTACTCCACCAATACGCATACCCACGCATACACACATGCACACGTGCACACATATGCATCCTAACCCCCTTCCTTGCTCTAATTTTCCCTATTTAGCATTTGTCTCCATCTAACATTATATACTATGCTGGTTTGTTTATCGCCTTTCTCCCCCAAGTTGAATGTAAGCTCTATGAGGGCAGGGATTTTTGTTTAAAATTTTCACAGCTGAATCTCTGACCCCTAGGACAGGCCTGGCGTGTAGTAGTTGCTCAGTGACTCGGTGACTTTGGGTCCCAACCATTGAGAGGAAAGATGATCTGTTACAGTTGTGTGGTAATTAACCTGTGACTTTTCTGAGGCACTTCGCCTCTCAATTTACCCACCTAGACTGAACCTGCTGGTATGTTGATTTCTTCTGGATTGCTTTTCTCTTGTCATCTAAATCAACAATTGTAGATGAATTTGAAAAGCCCATTTCTTCCTTAACATTAAGTTCAGTGTTCAGGCTCCTAATAAATTATTTTAATTAAATTGCTTTCGTTTCCTCACTTAACCACTATTTATCAAGCTCTTATAATATTCCAGGGACTTCTGGAGAGTGGGGTTAAAATGAAGAAGACAGACATTGACTATTCCCTTCCAGAGTTTACTCTCTAGTGGACAGACATAATTAAACAATGAATTGAAGTACAACACAACTAGTAAAATAAAGACAGTATCCAGTGTGAGAAGGGCCACTGACCAAAATCTGGCATCTATAGAAGGGAGATAGGAAAGATGTATATCAACAAAACACATTGCTTCTTTATCACTGTTTTGAATGATAGAGTGTCTTTTCCTCCTGTAGGAGAGAAGTGGCAAAAGGAATTTATTTGGTTTGCTTGGAGGAGAGAATGCAGGGAATAATGGAAAGAGCAGTGGGTTTAGAGTTAGAAGATCTAGATTTGAATCTATCAGTGCAACTTGAGGCACAGGGGCGGAGTCAAGATGGCGGCGTAGGCAGACTCTGAACTCACCTCCTCCCGTGGACACAGCCAATTTACAACTACTCGTGGAAAAATTACCCCT